CTACTCTAATCAATCTATGTAGATATATGTATATCTATATATATATATATATATATATGATATCTATGATATCTATGTAGATATATATAAATACACTAGCTGGATTGCCCGACGTTGCCCAAGTTTATATTATTATTCACAATTAGTGTTACTCTCGCCATTTACACTTGCTTGGTAGTAAGCTGAAGTGCCTGGCGTTGTCCGTGGAATTTCACAAATTTACGATGTTTTAAACCCCAGGGTTCACACGAAACATTTCATCGAATTTGGTCCGACCGTTTAACTAGCTCTGGCGAACATATTCCTGAATATAGCTTTATTAAATGTAGAGCTTAAAGTATAAGTGAATGATGAATGAAAGAAAGTATATAGGAATGAATGAAAGTATGTAGAAATTTATGAAGAAATTAAAGATAATGAATAGATACCAATAATATCAATAAAACACTGATTTGATAGAAGTATGAAAATAATAAAAGAAAGTGTGAATATCTAGTCCCTGAAGCAGTATTCAACAAATGGATTTCAATTGAATGCTATCCCTTGAGACAAGTTTTCATCTATTCAAATTCCAAGAATTGAAGAAGTTCAGTTCAAGGATTTAGATGATTTAAAGGTTCCGTAGGATAACTTGATCATATATGTAGCTTAACAACTCCGTGTTCCGTAGGATAACTTGATCATATATGTAACTTTACAACTCCGTATGATAACTTGATCATATATGTAACTTAACAACTCCGTGTTCCGTAGGATAACTTGATCATATATGTAGCTTAACAACTCCGTAGGATAACTTGATCATATATGTAGCTTAACAACTCCGTAGGATAACTTGATCCGTAGGATAACTTGATCATATATGTAGCTTAACAACTCCGTAGGATAACTTGATCATATATGTAGCTTAACAACTCCGTAGGATAACTTGATCATATATGTAGCTTAACAACTCCGTAGGATAACTTGATCATATATGTACCTTAACAACTCCGTAGGATAACTTGATCATATATGTAGCTTAACAACTCCGTAGGATAACTTGATCATATATGTAACTTAACAACTCCGTAGGATAACTTGATCATATATGTAACTTAACAACTCCGTGTTGCTTCAAATATAAACAAAGAATGCGCAAGTCACTTTCGCAAAGAAGCCTTAAACAAAAATAAACAGTTTAAAGGAACAATAATATTGATATCTAATTCATACTTGATCAGAAAACGCTTTCAAGGTTGCCGGGCATTGTTATCGTTGTATGAATCGCCACTTGACATTACGCGTACAGTCCCCTTAATAGATTTATTTTTGCAGAAAGTTCAGAAAAATAAAGAAACAGTTGCACAGCTAAATTTTCTAATTTTGACCTTTTATTAAGGTTCACCGATGGAAGTAGAAATAGATAAAAGGGGGGAAATGGTTTGATTACATTTAATTCTAGGACAGCTCAAGAACTGGTTTTAATGTAAAATATAACAAATCCTTGACCGGACAGGGCATGGCTAGATGTTCTTCGTTTTCAAAGTAAATCCTGAGCTGTTCTAATACGTTTCAGTAAAATGTAAACCAAACCTCCCCCCCCCTTTCCTTACCTTTACTTCCTTCAATCTTGATCGGACAAAGTGTTTAACGGTACCGTTGTGGATTAAGCATTCCACTCAATTTGTGGAGGGTCTCTTGAAATTAAGTTTATTCCTTTTAACAATTCTGGGATATTTCGTTTCATACTTTGTCATTTTGTTTAGAAATCCACTAGTTACTCTAGCGCAAATATTTATGACATTTTTTTTAAATAATAAAACTAAATCTTTTGTTCCAGTTTGATGTTGCTTTCCTGGTTATGGTTGGAGTAGGGTTTAGCTCCGGGTTTCCTGCACAACAGGATCTATCAGCTCCTGTAGTTTTCCAGGAGGGAAATGTCCAACAGGTGATCCTTCTCCTTTCTTATCTTTTCTATCCTTCTTCTTTCGAATGGGTCTTCCTGAGTTTCTTTTTTTCTAATTGGTCTTTCTGATCTTTTCCTTTCTAATTGGTCTTTCTGATCTTCGCATTTCTAATTGGTCTTTCTGATCTTCGCATTTCTAACCTTATTCTTTCTAATTGGTCTTTCTGATCATCTCCTTGCTGATCTTCTCATTTCTAACCTTCTTCTTTATAATTGGACTTCCTGATCTTCTCCTTTCTGATCTTCTCATTTATAATCTTCTCCTTTCTAACCTTCTCCTCTCTAATCGGTCTTTCTGATCTTCTCATTTCTAACCTTCTTCTTTCTAATTAGTCTTTCTGATCTTTTCCTTTCTAACCTTCTCCTTTCTAACCTTTTTCCTTTTTAGCTATATATCCTTTATGACCTTCTCTTTTCTTACTTTCTCCTGTCTGACCTTTTCCTCTTTACCTTTCTCTTTTTAAGTGACTCCTTTCTATAGCTAAATATCCTTTATGACCTTCTCATTTCCTTTCTAACCCTATTTAACCTTTACCGTTTATATTTAATTCTACTCCAACCCTTGGTTTGGTTTATTCATATACAACAACAAAACTTATTTTTCATAAACAAAGTTTCTTTCTCTTTTATTTTAATTCTTATCTTGTTCTTACTGGATAAGTTAACATCTATATGTAGACCATAGATTATTGATGTGTTCCCGCCTAAGATTACAGAATACTAGCTTGGGAACCCAGCTTTCCCTGGAAATCAAAAAAATCTTAAAAAGTGAACCAACTTAATAGTTTTCAAATTGTTCGACTTACTTCATCCCTCNTTTGAACTCTAGTTCTCTATTCTAATTTTTATAGTTTAATTTAGGTTAAACTTCCTACAGGACGGTTTCTAGTTGAAGATAATACTGAAGATACTTCATCTCCAAACTGTAAATCTATTCTGAGCCGTAGCCTTCCAGAATGCCAGGTAGTTTATCAGAATATAGAGGTGTAAGTGAAATATTTGGTTTGTCGGCCCCAACAGGTGCTGAGCCCTACCCCTCCCCCCCCCGTCCCTAGGGAGCAATAGATAATTGCCCTCTGGAGTACGCCTCTGCCACAATGCCATGTCGTTCATGCAAAAAAAAAACAGACACACAAACAGAGATAACTATTTTATGACTAAGTAGAATATACAAAAGTGTATTATATGTTATGTTTTCTTCTGGTCGATGTTAGTATTCCAAATTTTTCTGTAAAAAATCAAGTTTTTTATTAACATTTTCGATTAAAGGTTTAGAGACAACCAATCTAAGAAATATTAAAAAAATAAATGAATATAGCTTGAAAAACTAATTTAAAAAACTCTCATATCAGATTTTTTCTGTTGGTTGACGTCAGTGAAATATAAACCTTTATTCATCAGAAAATCTATAATAATTTTCATCAAATTTAGAAAAACAGCAGATCATGCTCACATGTTTGGAACACATGCCCAGAATGATCAAAGCTGTTTGCGACAATTTCCATCGCGTTTTTGCATAATAAAGCTATAAGCCTTATATACGTTGTTTTTATTTTTCGAAAATGTATTTGGAAGCTGATAATATTTAAAGTTTACTTCCTCTGAACTTCTTAAACCACATGTTGATATTTTACAAGGTTATATTTAAACACAACTAAACAATTACATGTCAATCAAGTCATTAACAATCTACATAAATATTATTTAAACATGTATTATATACACCACAGACATACAGTTAGACAGCTAGATATATATAGATATATATTTGCATTACAGTATTTCTATTTTTCTTTGGATAATTTTTCTAGATTAATTTTACAGATTTTAAAGATACATAAATTTAGTTTATTTTTGTCATTGTCAATTTTTTTTTGTGGAATTAAGCAAAAGTGCGATATATGCATGCACATACTTTTCTGAATTTGTCATTGTCGTCTTATATTGCCAGAGGATATTCAAAGAGGGGAGGAAGGTCAACCACAACAATGTCTCATCCGAGCCACATTCTCCTAATTTTTTCGTCCGAGCCACCTCGGAATCCTCTTCTTTCGATTATTTTGTGTTTAAAAGTTTCCAATTCCTGCAGAAGATAAAACTATTTTTTTAAAATCTAGCCTCGTTAGGGCATAAAATATTGATGGAATAAAGTATTGCAATGATTATATCATGTTGGAATCTTCAAACCCATGAGAATGATGCCAAATTTAGGTAAGACTTAAATCTCTTCTGCCTCCGTAATGGATAACCATCGCGATATATAATAAATAGCAAAATATTTGGTATACCTCTGCCTATCATTTTCCCCATGGAACCACCTGGAAAAATTCTATGGTTTTCACTATAAATAACAAAAAAGATGGAAGTTCTATAAAATCAAAATTATTTGCGGCATTCTACACCAGCAATATCTGAAAATGCGCTTAAAAAAGGTGAACATTTTTAAAAACATTATTAAACTTGAAATCTTTAATTCAATTAAAACTTTTTTTCCGATTTACATAAATTTGATATTTCATTTATGCCCTACCGTGGTCCATCTCATGTGAGGGCATAATTAACTTGATGATGAAGAAGTTTCTTGTAACAAACTCTGATTTTTATCCCTATATCTGTGTATCCCGATGTTGTAGACCTTTAGTATTTTAAACTATGAATTTGGTTGGATCAAAAAGTCTAAGTTTGAAATATCAAAAGTAATTTGTTAAATTTTTTTTTGTAGGAAAGTTCAAACATTGGCAGGTTCGGAGATATTTGGGGAGAAATATCTGTTGATGTTTCGTCCGGTCCCCTCAAGGTTAATCTTTATTTATAGAAAACTCGTGTCAGGATTTATCGTTTTCATTCAACGCTTTTTATAAATTTTAATTTGCGGATTTCATAATATTTTTTCGCGCATTTTCAAAATTTAAGATTAAAATATTTTAAGATTAGATATTTAAAGTCTTGTTGGCCATAAACCTTCCCTAAATTTGGGCCTGCAGATTGGTTCAGCCGTTTTTACGTTTATTGGATACAAACAAACAGACAAACAAACAAACAAACACCCAGACAAGCTAAATCTATATATAGATGTATTCTTATGTGAAACAATTCTTTAGAATAGGCTGATTTTTAAGATTTATGTCGTGTTTTTTTAAACAATTTATGCAGAAATATTTAGCAAAAAGCATGCAACCGTGATATAAAAATATACTTATATAAGCCATTATGTCATGTGTATTTTATGATTTGAGAGTGATAAAACCTGAGAACTTTTGTGTGGAGTATCGTTCATCTTGAACTCTCGATCTCGATATTCAATGTGGGCGCTTTTAAATTTAAAGATCAGTGATTGATTCTATTATTTTAGCTATCCCTGCTGAATATGGCCACCACAGGATATCGTAAAGAAATTGAATTAATCCCTAGATCTGTATAAGATGAAATTCAATTCTTGATCCCAAGATTTAAAACACAAAACTTCTGCATGGAGTTTTTTGTCACTGTACTTACAAGTAATTTCATTACTAGTTTTGCTGGATTATTAATGTTCAAAACACCGTTGAATTCTCTTGAACAATTCCCAGTTTTAAAACACTTCTCATTCTGATTTACTGGAGTTGTGTAACTGTCAGAATATTGGGGTGGGTAGACCAGGTATAGACTATAGAGTTTATTTAGAAACTATTCAAGAAAAATATTAAGATACAGATCATTTTCGGAGATTTTATACTGAATAATTTCTGAAGATTAGTCTAAAAATAATGGTTAGTTTTATCAAACTTCTCAAAGTGATGCCACAGTCCGACGTTCTATTAACTGTGTACTAAGCCCTTTAAGAAATTTGATCATCAAAATCATGAGAAGATCACATTGTTAAAAATCATTATTTTTTCTTTAAACAGAATAATTTCTCTTCGCAAGAATAAATAATAAAATAATTTGATAATATGTTAATATATTCTACTCTAATCACGAGATCAAAATAGATATTTTACAAGGGCTTAAATTTTTACTAAAATAATTTGGGGCCTGCTTAAGGTTTCTATTGCGCGGAATCGTTGGGCGTAAATTGCGCAAATTGGGCTATGAAAGCAAATACGCAAATGCGAAGAAAATTTTGTATTGCGCCTCGTTTGCGCTTGCTTACGCAAAATCTATTTTCTATCAAAACTGTAAAATTCGCGAGCAATTTGCAATTTTTAGGGACCATTCATTTTTAGAATTTCAGTCCGATTCATAACGGTACCCTTTAAGCCTTTAAGCCTTGGTCTGATGATAAAAAAAATGTATTTATCAAACTTTTTCCATTTTAAAATTGATTATTTCCAATTTCGGTTTTCTTTAAACAGACTTGCGTCAAGAGAGAAAGAGGATAATTGTCATGATTCAACATTTTTCAGACAGAAAAATTAAGATATCTTTTTTGTTGTTGTTCAAATAGATTTACATGGCACTGTTGTTAAATAAAGGGACATTTGAATTTGCAGTACTGCAGTACTATGCAGTACCATGTAGTACTATGCAGTACCATGCAGTACCATGCAGTACTATGCAGTACAATGCAGTACAATGCAGTACCATGCAGTACCATGCAGTACTATGCAGTACCATGCAGTATCATGCAATATCATGTAGTACTGCAGTACCATGCAATACCATGCAGTACTGCAGTACCATGCAATACCATGCAGTACTATGCAGTACCATGCAGTACCATGCAATACCATGCAGTACTGCAGTACCATGCAGTACCATGCAGTACAATGCAGTACCGTGCAGTACAATGCAGTACCATGCAGTGCCATAAAGTCCGAATTGTTAATATTTTCTTCCGAATGAATTCATCTTGGATCGAATTCTCGGTTTTGCTACAAGCTCAAACCTTCTAATCCCTATATCTTTGCAACCTGATAGTGTAAACCTTTGATATTTCAAACTTATCTTTTTTATATAGGATGATTCATAATTTGAAAAGAAAAAGGGTTGCAAAGATATATGGATTATTAATCAGAGTTTGTAGCAAAGACTCAAATCCGTTAATACAACTATTGCAACCCAATGTCGCGTAGATCTCAAATATTTCAAACTATGTTTGAAATATCAAAGGTTTGAACCATGCGATTAAAAATTTTAGTTTGTTGCAAAAACTGAATTTTTTGACCATATCGCCATCAATTTAATGATTGTGGAGTTGTGGAAAATATTATAAAACCAAATTGTCGTATTTATATTTTATTAATTTTATTTTTTGTCCCTAGATTGTTGAACCTGAAGACCGAAAGAAGAAAAGAAAAGAAAAATTTAAAACAATTTCTGCTTGAAACATAATAAAGAATTTAGTGTTAAATATGTAAATTAAATTTTTTTAAAATCTAGCCTCGTTAGGGCATAAAATATTGATGGAATAAAGTATTGCAATGATTATATCATGTTGGAATCTTCAAACCCATGAGAAGCTTAACAACTCCGTAGGATAACTTGATCACTTTATTGTTCTCCTTCTTACCGAATACGTGAATACAAATATCTCATCGTCTAAAGTCTGCAGTGTCTGTAGGTGGTGAAAGTTGGGTTTCCTTTCGTCGTTCCATAGTCTGGAGATAATTCTGGTTTTAGTTGGAGTTAGATCCTTACTCAGCTTGCACCTGGAGTCAGAGTTCGATATCTCGTAGCTGAACCAGGATGAAGGTATAAAACAGAATAATATTGTGGAATGTGACGTATGTATTCATGCGGATTTCCCAAGAGAACTATGACTTTCGAACAAAATTTGACTCATTAAACATAGTTTTTTCGCTTCTTCTCTTTTATACTGTTTTGTCGGCATTAGCGTATTTAAAGAAAACTCTGTAAATTTAAATATTATTAAATTACTGGCCAATTACCGCGAATGAATTAAATTAGAAGAAACCAAATGCTTCACGCCCTGGTTAGTCCAGGGTAATTATTGTTAAAAAGTAAAAATTCATGACAGCTGTACGCTTTCATATCTTAACATCAAGCCCTCCTCCTGCACAGAAAACCCAGCCCTCCTCTTGTACAGAAAACCCAATCCCTTCCTCCTTTACAGAAATACAGTCCTCCTCCTGTACAGTAAAACCAGAGCCCAAAACTTAAGACAAGGTATCGTTATGAAAACCAGTTTTAAAATCCGGGTTTCATGAATGGGGTTTGTCAGTATTGTGGATATCAATCTTTTTGTTATGAAATATTATTTCATTTAGTTTCTTTATATTCTCCATTTTTGTTGAAACTCTTAAATCAAAATCTACAAAATGTTAAGACCCCAAAAAGGAAACTCGAGAGTTTTGTTCTACAATACTCTTTAAATTTCGGACTCCTCCTGTTCAGAAACCGGCTCTTCTCTATATACCTTCTGTACAGATAACCCGGCACTTCCCCTCCTGTACAGAAACACACACAGCCCTCTTCCTGTACAGTAAACCCAGACCTCCTCTAGTTCAAAAACCTCGGCTCTTCTCTATTACATAAAACCCGGCCCCATACATTACAAAAAAACCCGGCCCTCCCCTTCTGTACAAAAAAAAACTTTTTTAAATTTAAATGATTTCTCGACATTTTGCCTGGAGTCTCACAACTAAATGATATATGACAAGGTTCGAACAGTTTTATTTCTTTATTTCCTTAATACATCTTTTTGACTAGAAAGTTAATTGACTTTAAATCTTTCTTTTAGCTTTTTTATTCCTAAGTTGAAAGATAAAAATATTATTTATGCATTTTTACAGAAAACATGTTTTTGTACCTTTTGTTATTTCAAAAATATTTTCTTTTCTCAGATAATTCTTGTTTACTCACTTTCTTTCTCTTCTTAGATTTTTAAGAACAAAAGTTTTTTTCATCCCAAAAAAACTATGAAACAAAAAATCCCAGAACAGAACGAAAAGAAAATCAAATCTTAGAAATATTTAATTTTAGTAGCGTTTTCATCAAGGAAAATTTAAATGAAAAAACTTCCATAAAAACACTTGTTTCGGCCTGGGCCTTTTTCTTAAGCATGTACTGAACAGACATATTTGGAAATGGTGCATCAATTTTCATGGCCGGGTGGGCAATTGAAGTGTTGCAACGCCTTGTTCTTTTGTTTTACATTAGTAAATCGAGTACTAGACATGTGAATTATACAGGGCGATTTTTAAAAGTCACTGTTTTCATCTGTGCTTAATAGATGCAATCCACAATATTGAATAAGAAAATCTCTCAATGTCTTACTTACTGTCTGACATTTAATAATTCCCTAAGCAACAATGGCTACACCCAAAAAAAAAAGATTTCATGTCTAATGAGCCAGGTCAAACACTGTCAAATATACGGCATGAGATATATGAGATATTATGAGATATGTGAGATATATGAAATATATGTGATATTATGAGATATATGAGATATATGTGATATTATGAGATATATAAGATATATGTGATATTGTAGAGGATATGAAATCCCCGAAAGAGGATTAGGAAATCCGCAAAGGAGTCGTGTCGGACCCTGGAACCGGAGAAGACCTTCTCAACTTCCTCTCCTTTTATACACTCTTTATTTAATATGTATTTATATCTAGAAGCAATAAATGTACTTCTGATATACTTCAATATTATGAGATATATACTTGCGCATTTTTTTGCTTAAAAGAAACAATGGAAGAATTCACAGAAATAAACACTTTTCGAGTTAGAAAAACGACGTTGTCTTCCACATTGTTGATCCGATTAAGGCTTCAAGGGTACTGTTGTTCATTGGGGATTACCATTTTTGCATGAAGGGTCACTTGAAATTACGCGTACAGTCCCATTAAAAAGTAGTAAATGGCCAAATGCTGATAGCTCTTTGTGTAAAAGCATTCTTAATATAACTGCGTGAACTTTAAAATATATGTAAAACTTGGCCTTGAAAAAAATGGTTTATTTTTATATTTATTTATTTGTTTATTTATTATTTGTTTATTTATTTATTATCCTATTATCCTAAAATAAAAAATCAGAGAAGAGCTAGAACAAGGAAGATCTTGATCAAATCAATCAGATTCAAGGTTAAACAATAAACTGTTTGTATTTCCATGTATCTAATCTATTCATCCATGTGGACATTTTTAAAGGAAGTTTTCTCGAGGAATTAAAGGGGGTATATGCTTACGGCGAAAAATAATCGCTTTTGATCGCTACTATTCTTACTTCTATCTGTTGCGCCTATAAGGAGAAAATTCTTAAAAGCGACTTCTACTGAAGAACGTCCATACTAATTTAGAAAATTGTTTTGTAAAAAAATCAATTTAATTTCAAACAAGTCATTCAGAAATTACAATCTATAGTCATCGATTATTTTTCGACGCATTCGTATATAGTTAATATTTAATATTCGTTTTGTATACAATGCACTTAAAATGGCAAAATAGTTGGCCGCCAGATGTCTCAGCTCTCGATGCTTTGAATGATTACACGCGGCAGAGACACCTAGCGGAAAAAAGTGCATTGTATAAAATTTAAAAAAATAAATAACAAATATTATGAAATATTAACTATATGCAAATGCGTTGAAAAACAATCGATGACTATAGGTTGTGATATCTGAATGATTTGTTTAAAATTAAACTGATTATTTTACGAAACAAGTCGTATATTGCAACTTTCTGAATTATATGGACGCTACGTTCTTCAGTAGAAGTCGATTTAAACAATTTTCTCCTTGTTAATCCCTTCACAAAGTACTAATCCCTTCACAAAGTACTAATCCCTTCACAAAGTACTAATCCGTATATTTTGTACTTAAAGAGTTTAAGATATTTCCTTTTAAATATCTGAATGGTTCGGCGAATCGAAAGCGACATGAAATCTTCTTCCGGATAATAAATGTCGTTGTTTTTACCGCGGATTTAATGCTTAAAGGGAAATATTTGGAAATGTGGCAATGTCCGATTCACAACGGTATTTTTAAACCTTTATCTGATTAATTCTATGGAAGATAGTGTCCCCTTTTGTAAAGAAACCACAGTTAAAAATAATAAGTTTTCCGAATTATAAACATTGATATCTATTTCATCCATGATTAGTCAAAGCTAGTAAGGGAACAGTGGTGAATCGGGCATTACCATCTTTGCATTGAGGGTAACTTGAAATTACGCTTAGAGCCCCTTTAATCGCTTTTAAAACTAAGGGTTTAAGATACAAAAGTTCCCACCCAAGACCAGGTTCATACATAGATGAATGAATACACAAAAATTAATATTTATTCCTATTTGTAACAAAAAATATCTACACAAATTTGTCGTGATTATGCTTTTTCATATTTAGAAAAGATTGCTTATTTTGATGCAATTTATAGTTTTTATTCATATTATTGCCAATAATACTTTAGACAATTAAGGAATATGTAAACAGTAGACATTTAGCCTATTCCAACCAAGAGGGGATTCTAAATAAAAAATAATAGAAAAAATGTTGGCTTTTTGTTTGTTTTGTTTTGAATGAAAAACTTTGTCATCACTTCTAATCATAATAAATTACAATAATATTTGTGACAATTTTTATGAACGAATATTGAACCTTATATTACAGATATTAAAAAATACATACATGAAACAAATTGGCGTGTTTTAATAGTTTTTGAAAAATGAATATACAACAAATCTTTAGTCAAGTTGAGAATATAAACTTTTTCAAGTTTATGAACATACAACAAGTTCCAAGTCAAGTTTATGAACATACAGCAAGTTCCAAGTCAAGTTTATGGACATACAACAAGTTCCAAGTCAAGTTCATGAACAAACAACAATTTCAAGTCAAGTCAAGTTTATGAACAAATAACTAGTTCCAAGTCAAGTTTATGAACATACAACAAGTTCCAAGTCAAGTTTATGGACGTACAACAAGTTCCTAGACAAGTTCATGATTATACAACAAGTTTCTAGTCAAGTTTACGAGCATACAACAAGTTCCAAGTCAAGTTGATAAACATACAACAAGTTCCTAGTCAAGTTCATGAACATACAACAAGTTCCAACTCAAGTTTATGAACAAACAACAATTTCAAGTCAAGTCAAGTTTATGAACAAATAACTAGTTCCAAGTCAAGTTTATGAACATACAACAAGTTCCAAGTCAAGTTCATGAACATACAACAAGTTCCAAGTCAAGTTTATGAACATACAACAAGTTCCTCGTCAAGTTCATGTTCGTAACAAAGTTTATGAACAGTCTTTAGTCATATTATAAACATACAATGCAGCCTCTAATGAACTTTATGAACATATATAAAGCCTATTGAAAAATCTGTGAACATACAACCAGGCCTTAATTAAGTTTATGAACATACGATTTTTTTGGCTTGCTTTGAACATAAATTTGTAATAAAGACATTTTCTTTAAAATAATTGGTTAGTTTATAATATTTTTTTAATCAAAACCTAGCAGATTTGTGAAGATAAAATATACCATTTTCAATAAATAATATATTTTGTATATTCTGTTATGAATCTTTTCCAATTTGATTTTCCAATATAATTTTCCCCATAAAATTACGTTATGTAATAGTACTTACAATGATGATATGTACTTTGATGTCACACATATCATGTACTTTACAGCTATATCAGTATGATTATGAAAATTATGAACAATGTATGTCCAGCACACTGAACACTACAGTGCAGTGTATTGTCAACATCATTATTGTAAGTTTTGACAATTTTTTTCCTTGAAAGGTTCGTTGTGTTGCCCGCTATCTGATCAGCTTGATGTTCTAGTGAGAGAGGATGGAGTTGATGTTTCCGTGCTTCATGTTGTTGTTGATGTTGACGGGGCAGGGGGGGAGATCATCGTGGAACTCCTGGAACCCTCCAGCCATGAAGAACGGGTTGGTTACCTCCATTTCTCCGGGTGGAGCTAAACCAGGACATTCGTAGATTGTATCATCATCTTCATCCCCGTCAATATCTATCAGGCTTTCCATTCGGTTCAACCTAAAATGGAGTTTATTACTTCACCTTCAGTAGATCATACTCACCTCCCTCACATAGATACGCCAAGAACGGACAGATTTTTTTGGAAGTATCTATATAATGGAAAGTGAAACTAAGCCACAGACGCAGGGGGGAATTCAGTGGAATTGATTAGAAGAATACTTTGGATTTTTTTCTCCGCATTTTCACCCAAAAGAATTATTTTGTTTCAAAAAGAAATGCAAAAAAAACTAGTTTTTGCGCTCAAAAAATATTATTGTATAATTCATAGCCAATCCATGCTATAAAAAAACAGTCAAAATACATTTTATACAGCCATATGGGCAAAATAAAAGGATCTAAAAAGTGTGGCGAAATTCGCAAAAAAAATTAATAGCAATAATACAATAAATGATAATAGAAATATACAGAATACAGAAAATATAAGATAAAAAAATAAGAATAAGAAAATTACAGAAAAGATGAGAATAAGAGAAGAAAAGTTGGAGAGTAAGAGAAGGAATGGATGAGAATAAGAGAAGGAAAGGAGAAGAAGGAAAAAAAGAAAGGAGGAGATTAAGAGATGGAAAGGAGGAGAAGGAGAGAAGGAAAGGAAGAAAATAAGATAAGAAAATGAAAAGAATAAGAGAAAAAAAGGAGAAGAATAAAGAAGGAAAGGAGAAGAATAAGATATGGAAAGGAAGAGAATAAGAGAAGGAAAGGAGAAGAATAAGAGAAGGAAAGGAGAAGAATAAGAGAAGAAAAGGAGGAGAATAAGAGAAGGAAAGGAGGAGAATAAGAGAAAGAAAGGAAAAGAATAAGAGAAGGAAAGGAGGAGAATAAGAGAAGGAAAGGAGAAGAATAAGAAAAGAAAAGGAGGAGAATAAGAGAAGAAAAGGAGGAGAATAAGAAAAGGAAAGGAGTAGATTAAGGGAAGGAAAGGAGGAGAATAAAATAAGGAAAGGAGGAGAATAAGAAAAGGAAAGGAGGAGAATAAGGGAAAGAAAGGAGGAGAATAAGAAAAGGAAAGGAGTAGATTAAGAGAAGGAAAGGAGGAGAATAAAATAAGGAAAGGATGAGAATAAGAAAAGAAAAGGAGGAGAATAAGAAAGGAAAAGGAGGAGAATAAGGGAAAGAAAGGAGGAGAATAAGAAAAGGAAAGGAGGAGAATAAGAGATTCAACTTTTAGGCTCAAAATTAAAAGACCCAAACTTGAAACATTTAAATGCATGGCAAGGCTAAAAGGCTAAAAGTCTCATCAAACTTATTTTGGGACACTGTTGGATATCTTAAATATAACATAAGAATAAGAGGAGAAACTTTGAAGTGCACGCTTTACAGTCGCTTTGTTCTATAAAACACACTTTACAGTCGCTTTGTTCTATAAAACACACTTCGACTGAACAATGTTTTCTACAGGGTTGCTTTCACATCAGAATCATTTATTCAAGGAATCTTTTAAATATACTCGGTCCAAACATAAGAAAAAAATAATGTTTCCAAACAGAATTAAGACACCCAAGAATTAGAAAAGTAACATTCGTTTGGTTGCATTCATGGATTTCAAAGTTTCTTATCAATAGCAACGCTTAATAGAGAGTTGTTTTGTATGAAAGCATGTAAGGTTTCAAACTAAAATGAAATAATCTTTAATTTAATGTGAGAGCAGCAATATCAGTTTAATAAACATTCGTAAAATCTTTAAAATATGAAAATTCTAAATATTTTTGCTTTTGAAAAGAAAGATTTTCAAGAAAAATTCTTTTTAATCATTCCCTTGCGTACCTCCTGTTCGTGCTTGTATCAAGACTGGTTGGTCTCTGGTAGGTGTACTCTGATTGTAACCTGGAGTTAGGTTTGTAGGAGTCAGCTCTGCTCTTTTCCTCTCTACTATACCCCCTACAAAAGGAATATTTAAACCAGGAGAAAGGATACCTGAAGGTATATAGTAAGAAATTTATATTTGTCATATAACCTGGATCTATTTCTCTATTTATCTATCTCTCTATCTATCTATCTATCTCTTGATCTATCTATCTATCTATCTATTTATATATCTATTTCTGTGTCTCTGTCTGTCCAAAAATTGGTTTTTTTGACTTTTTTCTCTCAATATTAATAAATATTATATTTTCGTTTCTTTCTTCGTGATAATGTCTATTAAGAAATCAAGAAATATTAAGTTTGAAATATTTTATTGCAAATAACATTATATTATTCCTACCTGTAAGGTTTCCGTATAGGTTCTGAGTCCATAGGTTCCTCAGTTGGAGATCTGAACGCCAGCTTTGATGAATGAAAGGTTGGAGAATTATCCTGACTGAAAGGTGTACCCGGAGGAATACAGTTGGGAGAACGTATCCAGTATCCTACACCTAAACAAAAATTTGTATATTATAATGACAACACCGACGGCGTTCCACGAAATCCGAAGGGCACACGCAGCTGTGACTTTTGATCACAAGTTGACCTGTTCAACTTAAAGGAATTGAGACTGATTTTCTAATCCTTATATCTTTGCAACCCAACGTCGTGGATATTTCAAACTATGAATTAAGTTAGATCATCTAATCTTAATTTAAAATATCAAAAGTTTAACCATCACGTATCAGATATATGGGGATTTTCTCTTTTATACTTTTTCGTCGACGGATGCGTTTTAAATGAAAAACATGACAAGACAGTTACATAAGTTTAAAGATTGCTGAGTTATAGATTGAATTTGAATTTATGAAACTGAATGCGAGATGGTCAGTCCCACCTCGCATTCACCTCGATATCCAGTGCAATGGACAAACTTTTTAATTGAGGACCCAGGGAAAGGGGGAGGGATGGGGCCCAGGGAAAAGAGAGGGGGAATGGGGCCTAAGGAAGGGGGAGGGAGGGAAAATTGTTTATTCTTGGCACATTAAGGTGTTTTGCACTTAAGGTTTAGTCAGTAACGGGAAAAGTAGCCGGCTTAGCCTTAATGCATTCACAGATTTAAGAAACAAAAGCTTTATCCTCGGGGTTTGGTTTAAAAATAATAATTGTATTATACTGCAGGGTAAAAAAATGGAATTTCTTTGTTTTACGCTACAAGTTGTTTTAGGTGGAAAAATACTGAACTGAAGTGAACTTAATGCATAAATATAAAGAAACTATTTCATTGGTAAAGATTATTTTTTCTTACATTAAATTCCAAAGTTTTATCAAAATCTATTTAATGAGTATAAAAGAGTTATTTAAAAAATCCGCGAAAAATCTCAGTACAAATATACTCCAAATAAATCTTACCAAATCTTACAAAGATAGCTATAAACTCTCTATTTAAGCAATTGTGTTATTCAACATTTAAGACATAACATTTTGTAAACAGTAAATATATTTTTGATGTTGTATTTTTTAAGGATTTGGTGCAGATTTGCACCAACAATTTTACGCGGATTTTTGTCATATCTCTTTTATTTTCATAAAATTTTGGACAGAACACAAAAATTTTCCAAATGATTTTTGAAAAAAAAAATAAAAAAATATTTCTTTGCAAAAACAATGTTACACAGACTTTTTTCTGTGTACCAAAAATTATTTTTGCTTTTTGATAATCAAATTTTATGGTTTTTGCCTAAAACAAAAACCCTGCAAAAAAAAGAAATTTGAATTGCGTAAAACAATGCTAATTTCGTTTTTTACTCATCCTGTATACAGAAAAGAACGTCAAATACCACAGAAATGTCTAGTAGGTGTGTTGTGACTATTAATATAAAGAACAGAGATACAAAAACCAGAATACACTGAGAAATTGACATTTGATCAAAACTGCTTTAATTTGGTTAGGCCTTCAAAGACACTGCGTTTGAAAAAAATTAGATTAGTAAAAATCGATGAGAATTTTGCCAATTACTTGTTTAAAACTAAAGCTAAAAACAAATGCTGAAGTGTGCAAGGAGTGCTACGGACAGCTATTCTGCTGAAACAAAAATCCAAATTTACTCCATCAGGTTGCAAAGGTAAAAGGATTAGAAAATTAAAGTTTGAGTTAATTTCCATTAGCTCAGAGCACAAAGTTTCTGTGCAAGTTTTTAAGTGCATTAAATGATTTCTTCTATAATTGTTTTAAGATGCACTTGCAGCTGTAACTTCGTTATATAAACTATTCTAAATAAAAGAATTAAAGATGCTAAAAAGTATGGGAAAAATAAGAATAAAATTTTACATTATCATCTTATAGTGTTCTCTGAACATGTTCAGAAGAAATATTTCTGAAGAAAATAGAAACAAATAGCCCCAGATTCAATAAAATAGATTGTAATATAATAAAAAGATTTTAAATGTTTCCATTTTTATTAATAAAAATTACCTAGAACTAATAAAACGCAACCAGCAGTAACTCCTATTACTCCGATTAGAAACAAACCTAGATTAAACAGAAGTCAGATGTATTAACTAGTTCTTTACGGAAGTGGAAAAATTGGGAGAAGAGGGGAAAGAGGAGAAATAATTAAGAAGAATCTTGATGACAAATAAAAAAGTCCTAGGGGAGGAAAACGGGGTCCAGGGAAAGAGGAGGAAAATGGTACCCGGAGAGGGGGGGAAGAAAATCAGGAGGAAACTAAGTTTTACTAAGTTAGTCTGAGAATGTATGCATACGGGAAAACTTGTACCACGGCAGGGCACTCACAGAATAAGAAAAACCTTTTCATACCTGTCAGGTTAAATGTCTTTACTCTTGTTAGAACTTTATACGACAGGAAATATTCGGCTAAAATTCTTTTTTTCTTCATGGAGTATTTAAACCCCTGATCTCTTAAACAGAGAGCACTTACATCCAACTTCAATACTTTCCCACTCAACTTATTGCATTCTTGACTTTCAGGTACGATAGGAACCAGTAATAGTTTTAAACAGAGGGAGGGAGGGAAGGAGGGGAGGAAGGAAGGAAGGAAGGAAGGAAGGAAGGAAGGAAGGACCTACCATCTCCCTCTGGTGTATCATGAATATGTCCTCCAGCATAAGTCCTCTTGTCACTAACAGCCAGTAGAACAGGTTCCTCAACCGTCGATAAATTTTCAGTTTGCGGATTTTCTGTTTTTGCTGTTGTTGTGGTTTCAACAGTTTCATCATCAGGAGTGTACGCAGAAGCTTCTGTAGTTGCTTCCAAGATCTCCGCAGTTTTAAGTTTCGTTTCAGCTCCGGGCTCCGTTGGATCTTTGAGGTCTACAGGTAGAATTTTAGTCTCTTCATTCTCCAGTTGAGGACTAGATATTGAAGGTGGATTCTCAGAAATCGAACCTAAACATTTTTTTACAACAAATGCTTAAATATCTAATGGAGAGAAATAAATCACTTTTCTAGATTTAAAAAGAAGGATTTAATAAATTTTCCGGAATTATAACCAACCTAACCACCCTTTAAAAAATTTTACTTTTGTTGTCGCTCTGAAAGATAAGAAAATTGAAATTATCATTTAAAAAAAATAGAATTTGTTGTACTTATTACAGTTTTCCTTTTTATCACTTTGAACAATATGTTTCGTGATATATATCCAAGGTATTGTGCGAACCAAATCATTACTTGATTGGAGTTAGGATTATGTGATTATATCACTTTCTAACCATTTAATATCTAAGGATGGAAACCTTTGAAGTTAGAAGCTTAAATATTTCTAGATTTGAAAATATTGAAATGATTAGCTGTCCGCAGATTAACCAAAAGCCTACGCAGATTAATCGAAAGCATACGAAATTTTTGGCCAATGAAAGATTGGATATTCATCCGATTTTAAGTCTTTGTCTTTGGGAGGGAATTACTTTAACTTGTTTGAATCGACTTAAGTCAGTTCTAAATAGGTCAGTTAATTCCAAGCTCAGAATCAAAGTATTCAGTCCATGATAATCTTACTTTTGATCCAGTTCAATTTATAAAAAACAGGGTTGTTTAATCTTTTTGACACAATTTTCTTATTTTTCCTTAAACTGTTTTCTGTTTAAAGGAATTGCGGCAATGCCTCAAACTCTGATTTTCTAATCTCTATATCTTTGCACCCAAATATTGTAACCTTAGATATTTCAAACTATGAATTCTGTTAGATCAAATAATATAGGTTTGAAATGTTAAAGGTATACATCATCAGGTTGCAAAGATATAGTAAATAGAAAATATGAGTTTGTGGCAAGACTCAATTCCTTAAACCTAATCTCAATTTAATAATTTTGTTAATATGATTATACACTTTAATCTGGAGATTAGAGAAAAGAGGAAACCAGGAATAAGAAAATGAAATAAAATTAAGTTCTAACCTTGATCCCTGATTATTGCAGGCCCTGGATTCATCTTCAGTCTCTCCAGCTCCTTTTCTAACCCGGAGGAGTAGGATTGAGGAGCTCTGGGTCGGAGACGAGAAATCCTTTCTGTCGGAGTATTTAAGATATTTGGAGAGTATCCGAAGATTTTTTTCGGGATTGAAAATGCCTCTTCTCTGTGCTGCCTAGGAGCTGGGAAGTATTGAGAAGGATTCTGAGAAACCATCCTGCCTACGAGAGAACTACTCCTCTGGTTCACGGAGACACCGGAACCCTGTGGTTTAGCTTGAAAGGTTGGTTGGGAGAACCTGGTCCGCGGAATCCTACAAAAGGGTTGAAACATGAAATTCATCTTTAGAAAATCCTTTATTCAGTTGAAATCTCTTTTATGGCCTTTTGTGACTGAACAATATCAGTCGTGGAATAAATGCTGTTTTCTTTTCAAAACTTTCTTTTCTTCAAAAATACATTTTTAAGAATTGAAACAAGATCTTCGAAAATATAATCCATATTTCTTTACAGAGGGAACTCTTGTAACAATATACTACAACGAAGTAGGAAATTATTTACAGTCTTAAAAAGGCTCCTATAGCCCATAAAAATATATTTTTAAAAATTCAGGGTGTTTCTAACGGCATAGGCGTAATTGAACACTTTTCTAGATTAGGTTAGGTTAAAGAGACAGGAAGCGGTATTATAAGTGACCCTCCGTGCAAGGATGGTAACTTCAGATTCACAATGGTACCCTTGAACCCGTCATCGAAGTTATTACTGTTTTTCTAGGGAGGTTTAAAAGTGTTCAATTTCTGCAGTAGAAATGCGCAAGCCCCTTTTGCAGAGAAACTGCAATTGAAAATAATCAGTTTTCAAAGTTATAAACATCAATATCTAATTCATACTTGATCAGACACCGTTGTGAATCGGAAATTGTCTTCTTTGCATAAAGATTCACTTGAAATTACGCTTACAGTCCCTTTAAGTGAAGAAGGACAGGAGGGGTGCAGCAGATATTTACTCAGATATACCTATGCTTTAAGATTCTAATGACGTTAAAGAAAATGTTGAGAAAACTAATTTGATATTATCGATTAGATTGTATGACTCTCGAAATATTTAGAACCTTTTTTCGTCAAGGGTAAAAAATCCTAAATTTTGTATGCTTTCTTCAGCTATGTCTTAAATTTGAATACTATAAGTATATTCTGATATACATTTGTTGCATTATTTATAAATGGGATCTGTCTTTCAAAAACATTCTTTTCATTTTTCTTTTCAATTATTTAATTTTGTTGTTGTATTAGTTTGATTGAGCTAAGTAATAATTCGTGACGTATCATGGTTATTTACGTTTTCCTGCCATCCTACCTACTCGTCCACTCGTGCAACATCTCCCCCCCCCCCCGACTCTAAGCTGTTTATAGGGTTAATGATGTGAACCTGGCCCAACAGATTCTTTTTCTCTCATGAGGATTTGTGAAATCTTCATGTAATAAATATCTGATTTGATTAGTTTCCTAGATTTAAACTTAAAATAGCAACTCACATTTGGGAAAACCATACTAATCTAATAAATTAAACCAACGAAAAAAGTCATCAAAATGGTAAAAATATTAAACGGTCTGTAAACATGAACAATGTATTAATGTCGTTAAGCATTGTTTTTACTCTGTACTCTTTAAAGAATTTCAATGGAATCTAGGGTGGTTCGCGCCCTCCTTCCAGGTTTAAAAATTTACTTGTCGTTTAAGAAATTAATTAAAATTTACTTCAGGTTTTTCACGTGAATTTAAAAAGTAAGAAATACATTTCCAGAGGGAACATTTTCTATTCCCAACCAGACATATTTTTGGTACAAATTAATACCATGGAAATTAAAAATTTTCCCTACTTGTGGGTTTAAGAGGAAATAATCATATAAAAGGAATTGAGTATTTACAACAAACTCAAAACTGATTATGTACTCCTATGATATTTTAAGCTTAAATCATTTGATCCCACAGAATTCATAGTTTGAAAAATCTTAGGGATTAGAACATCTTAGTTTGTTACTTTACTTTAAGCTGGTTTATATTCCAGGGGCGTGTATACAGAGAGGGGGGAATGTCTATGGGGCTAAGCCCCCTGGAAGAGTAATAACTAACTTTTAGGGAGATTCAGCCCGCCTCTGGTATGTCATGTATTAAGGTTAAGCCCCCCCCCCTGTCCAAACTCCTGAATACGCCCCTGTTAAAGTCTTTAAGTTGATGAGAAAGTAAGTCAAGGCGCTAAATTTGTAAATTGAAAAAATAAATCTTAATTAACTTAGCAATTCATAGGGTTTCTTTTAAACCTTTTCTTTTCTGGTTCAACCATTATATATTAGACTATTAGTCTATGGACTGTACAGTTTAAACACTATTGTTATACTTTTATTCAATAACAGCACAGTTTTGCCATACGACAAATGTTTTTTATAAACTAAAAGTTAATAATATGATTTACGGGAATAATTACTGGTATATAATATGATTTTCTATTTTCTTACTGTATTGATTCACCAAAACTTTAAGCTTTCTTTGATTTATATTTCATAATTATAAAACTTTATTAAATTTTCCTTAAAAAATGGTGATTTGCTAGTTTTTAGAAACTAGATTTTTCATTTTTATTGCGGAGTAATTTCGCGAAGAAATGTCTTTCGGAACCTAATTTACTGAAGCTGTTAAGAATACAAGAATATCAAGTAGAAGCGACATGCTGAAATTAATGTTCGGATCAACCAAGGTTAATGCAAGGAAAGATAATTGCAGTTGCGTATACTCTGCGTACATATTGAAACCAGTTCTCTCTGGGCGAAATTTGTTAACAAGAATTGATACATTAGTGTTCCTTTAGTATCCGAGGAGGTTAAAAGCATTAAATTTTGATAATTTAATAATTCACAAAATAATTTCCTATGACCAGAATATTTCATTGATTTTTTATATGAGAGATGGATCCAATGTCAGGCTTCGACATCCGTCTTGTGTTTACATAACCGCCCAGAGACAGTACACTGCAGTACAAAAGATGCGTATATGAAATAACTTTCCTTGCATTATGACCTTGGGACCAACTACATCTTGAATAGACCTATCGAGAAAATTTTTCAATATCTTGTTCCTCATAGTTCTTGGTTCAGCTCTTAATTCTTAAATGTTTTTAAAGGTTTTAATAAAGTTTTAAAAAGTTAAAAAACAAAAAAATTACAAAATAATGACATTTACAATTAACGAACACATAATGACATTAAAATATAATAAATTTAAATGTTATTGGGCTGCTGTTACTGAAAAAAACATCAATTAGTGTCTATAGAGAGAGACCGTCCCTTTGCGCTCAAATTCTGAACGAAAAATCGGCTTTTTCTCCGGCCACGGTTGTCTTTGAAAAGTAAGATTATTACCAATCAACAGCGAATAGGCTGTTTAGTTTACCCTGAAATTACCCAAATAAGTGAACGGTCCCTTTAAAGGTTTTAATAACAGTCTGTCTGGGTGTTCGATCAAAGCTCATGAGTCCTACGCAGCCCCTTCACAAATTTATTTAGCGAAATAGTTTTCAGACAAAGCTGGGTTCGAAAGCGAGTAATATATATTCTGTTTGTCTGTCTGTTTATTTGTGTGTCCGATCTTAACTCCTGCACCCCATGATTGATTTGCATTATATTTTGATTCGGGAACTCGGTAGAATCACGGGAATAGGTTTTTAGTTTAGTTTAGTAGGGTTAGCAAGCTGGTAATAAATATAATAATATTTAAGCATTTATCAATTAGAGAGAATTTTATCTTTAAAACAAAAAGACATATTTCAAATTCTCGTCGACTACACAATTAAATGTCATCGAACATATTACTTGTCTAAAGAATTTGAGTCTCCGTCACAAACTCGGATTTTCTAATCTCTATATCTTTGCAACCCGATGTCGTAGACCTTAGATATTTCAAAATATGAATTCTGTTAGATCAAATAATCTGAATTTGAAATATCAAAGGTTTACAGGTTTGAATTTGTGGCAAAAACTCAATTCTTTTTTAAATATATTTTAAAGAAAACAGATCTAAAAATGTTACCTGTTTTCCAGCTGTTTTTCTGTTCCAATGTTTGCCGGAGCAAAGTGTCCCAGAGTCCTGAAGTTCTGTAGAGTCCGTTTACCGGGTTTCCTAGTTCCATCCTCTCCAGGTGCAGGATTCACCAGTTCTCCATGCCTAGGTTGAGACTGAGCTCCGAGGAGCAGGACCAGAAGAGTAGAAAACCCCAGGAGTTGCATTGACTGCAGTTTTGGTTCTGTTTCAAAACATAGTTGAACCTTGGTTATATCGAGACTGTACACGGAAAGGTATCCTTCGATTAGACCAGAGAGAGAAGGAGAAAGAGAGAGAGAGAGAAGAGGCCAGTCTTCCAGCCTCCAGATATTCTTAAACCCTACACCGTCTTCTGCAATATTAACAGAACAACATTTTATATATCTTCTGATTACTATTCAAAATATTAACTTTCTCCCAGTAAACCACCAAGTTTTCTGAAAAGATTAATGTTGAGGACAAGGGATGAAATTCGTCGTCTTTGTAATAAGGACAGAGATCTGGGACCAAAGGGAATCGGTGTTATAGGTATGGCAAACGCTGAACTCCAACCAAAGATTTGCTGTTTAAAACTACAAATGGAGAAGTTATACGATCATCAGTAAACTTAAAAATTATCCGATGGGCACAACAATACTTATCCGAAACATAAGAGCTTAAACCAAGGTAAAATATGAATTTTATTTAAAATAATTTACAATTTTAAGTTTTTGAAAAATTTGCATTTCTGCAACAGAGCTAGACTATCCCTACCCTGCTTATGTCGTTTGCGGAAATATTTTTTTAAAGAAGGATGGAAAGCTAAACCAACCAACGCATATTTTGTTTCATAGAATGTAAAATAGTTTCAAAATTGGATTCGTCTTAATGGAACATGTCATAATTTATTCATAGCAAGGGTGTATAGATGGGGCGTTCAGGGGGGAGAGGGTTGCGTTGCCCACGGCCACCACATATTCTTGAAATGTTTTCTCATTTTCTAACACCGAAAGATCCTGCTGTTCTTTCTAAATTTTCAACAAAATAGTCACCAACCCCCCACCCCCGACCCCCGGGAACACATTCTGTTTACGATGGATATTTCAATTTTAAGAAACAAATATTCTTAAAGATCATCTTAAACTTGTTTAGGTTTCATGATGCCGGGTCTGTCAGGAGATTTATGTACTGCATGAAGTTCACAAGTGAAGGATATCAGGAAAATCATGAAGTTCTATTTCAAGGTTTGCGGAGTTCTTTACAATAATTAGAAACCCAATTGGAGTATTGTTTATTTTTTTCATTAATAAATTGTTAAGTCCACTATGTTGTCCAATCTCCGCCCTCCGGTTGAGGAACATTGGTTGTCTTATATTTGATAATTGTTACTAGAGAACTTTTAACAACTGCTCTCTAGATTTCAAGATATTCAAAATCTGGAGATATACTTATAAACTAATAATACTGGACTGGACCAGATCAGAACAATTAATAGTAGGATTATAGGATATGATTACAGTAAAGAATTACAGGATAGGATTATAGAATCGGATTACAGGATAGGATTACAGTAAAGGATTGCAGGATAGGATTACAGGATAGGATTACAGTAAAGGATTACAGGATAGGATTACAGTAAAGGATTACAGGATAGGATTATAGAATCGGATTACAGGATATGATTACAGTAAAGGATTACAGGATAGGATTATAGAATCGGGTTACAGGATATGATTACAGTAAAGGATTACAGTATAGGATTATAGAATCGGATTACAGGATAGGATTACAGTAAAGGATTGCAGGATAGGATTACAGGATAGGATTACAGTAAAGGATTACAGATTACAGTAAAGGATTACAGGGTAGGATTACAGGATAGGATTGCAGGATAGGATTACAGTAAAGGATTACAGGATAGGATTACAGGATAGGATTGCAGGATAGGATTAAAGGATTGGATTACAGGATATAAATTACAGGATAGGATTATAGGATATGAGCTGAAAACTTTAGAATGGTGGATATCGGGATTAAGGCTTAATCCACTCTTTTTCTTAATCTGCAGATTAAATATTGCTTGTTCTCCACTCATTTTTAATCTCCAGATTAATTATCCGATCAGGATTAAGGATATCCCATTAAAAAATTCCCATCTATGATTACAGTAAAGGATTACAGGATATAATTATAGGATAGGATTATAGGATATAAATTACAGGATAGGATTATAGAATAGGATTACAGGATAGGATTACAGGATAGGATTGCAGGATAGGATTAAAGGATAGGATTATAAGATATGATTACAGTAAAGGATTACAGGATAGGATTACAGGATAGGATTATAGGATAGGATTATAGGATATAAATTACAGGATAGGATTATAGGATAGGATTACAGGATAGGGTTATAGGATATGATTACACTAAAGGATTACATGATAGGATTACAGGATAGGATTATAGGATAGGATTACAGAATAGGGTTACAGGATAGGATTATAGGATAGGATTACAGAATAGGGTTACAGGATAGGATTATAGGATAGGATTACAGAATAGGGTTACAGGATAGGATTATAGGTTAGGATTAAAGAATAGGGTTACAGGATAGGATTACAGGATAGGATTACAGGATAGGATTACAGTAAAGGATTACAGGATAAGATTACAGGATAGGATTACAGAATAGGATTAAAGGATTGGATTACAGGATAGGATTACAGAATAGGATTACAAGATAGGATTATAGGATAGGATTACAGGATATGATTACAGGATAGGATTACAGAATAGGATTACAGGATAGGATTACAGGATATGATTACAAGGTGTTCGTATTGTTGTTATTATAAAGATTTAAACTAAGACAACTGATTCAAATTCTTTTCATCTTTGCACATGTTAAGATCAGGGTTCAATATTTCACTATTTTCTAAATTATTAAAAATCAGAAAACGATTTTAAATTCTTTTTAGTTGAAGCTGATTTAAATTTTTTAAAAGAAAAATCTTAAAACCGTGAAAAAAGACCTGAAATCCTAAAGTCCTACTTTTTATAGCAATGTCAAGATCATTCTACGCTAATTGGTCCTTCAAGAGAACTATTTGCAATTATCTAATTATCTTCACAAGTTCTCTCTCAGGAATAATTAACATAATCTGAAAAGAATCTTTACTTAAAAAGTGCCGTAAATGATTCACAATCATACCATTTAAGCTTTTCATTGCTTTCTTGATTTCATAGATCCTTAGAGCCCGCGATTTGAAAATATGGGAAAATACTACTCGGGTCTAAGCTGTCATAGGGCCTTATTGACGGCTTGAGCTTTCGGATTCAAGCTGCATCTCATTTTCCACAGAGTTGAGTTTAAAAAAAACCAGTTTAATATTCTATTTGGCGGATTTTCATGGTAGGAATTGGCGCATTCCGGGTTTTATGAGAACAAGACTCAACATTGAGCCTTATTCTCGGTTTTATTTTCATTGGGCCTAACTCCTTAAGTTGAGCCGAAGATCTTGCAGCTGCCAATCACTTCACACAAGCTTAGGAGTTGGGTCTTAAAGTCGGGCTCAAGAAATTACGACTCGAGCCGAAGTTTTTAAATCGCTAGCTCAGAATGTTAAGACTTAAAGTTAATTCCGGCAGCAGGACGGTTTTGAATATCATTTCGAGGTTCGGTATATAGTATAAACTGATAAATTATTGGCCAGGCAGTCATATTTAATCCAGTTATTCAGTGTTAATTGCTGTTTAGTCCAGAATAGACAATCTCAGGGTTAGATACTGTTGAGATCTCTTTTGATGACTAATAATGTCGTCGTCTAAGTCAAATTTTGATTTAAACGATTATATCACACATTCACAAACTTTTAGATCGTCTTTATTATACAAAGTACTTTTTGTTATTATCAAAAACTATCAAAGATTAAAAAATATGGTTGACAGAGGAGCAACTGTGGCATCTTTTAACTTTTGATTTAAACGTTTAGTTTACACTTTCATGGATTTTCATATCGTCTATACATCAGTACACACTCTTTATTTGTGAACACAGTTATTAGAGAAAACACTTGGGATTTGCTAACTATGGTTAATTGTATATAGAGAGGAGCAACTGAATGGGTGGGGCTTTCATTCGAGTAAACATATTTTTATTTTAAAATCCTAGAATTTTAAATATTTCTAAAATACAGTAATAACCAGAAAAGTGTAGAATAGGAAGACGACATCATGGTAGTAGTGTAGTATTTGATGTTGTCACAATATAAATAGGTTTACTAGTAAGTTATATAATCACTTATTATGGGTCTGTTTGCACTGCACGATTACTGTGTCTCATGTTAGTTTATCAAGCTTTTAGATGATATTTTAATAATTTTAATATTTTAATAAGGATCAATTATTTACCTACGGAGAAGACGACATTACAGATTAACTTTGAGAACGGAATAAATGTTATGTTAGTTACACAGACTAACTGAAAGGGAGTTCAAAGTGTACAAATCATGTAAATGTTCACAAATTATATGCAGGAGAGTACATTAATACAGTATGTTCCCTAGACTATTCATTTCAGTTTCGAATTTTTTAAAGCTTTTAAATAAAGTTAATAATGAATTAGGTGAATTCATAAAAGCTAATGGTTTAAAATCCGCGAAAATGTCACTAAGAAAGGAAAAAGCGTTTTTGATCATATTAAATCAAATGCGTTAAAATTAGACAATGAATTCCATAACATTATTTCTGCATTAAGGACAAATTATTAGCAGAAGAAGAGGATGTTTAATTTTGATTTTAAACGTATATATATTTGCGCGCAAAAAATCAATAACCCCCCTGGAAAATATTGTAAGCCGCCCCTGTTTCAGGGGCACCCTTAAATTAAACTCGATATCAGATTATTTTTTTCATTCGTCGGAAAGTACGTTGTGGAATCAATATATCTTTAAAGAATAATCAGTGATCATTAACTTGTACGGATTTAATCCAATACAAACCTGGATAAGAAATTTTATAAACCAATCATCCTTTCGTATTTCGCGAACAAATATCCAAATTTCTATTATATTTATAAATATGTTTTAAATTTTTTCTTATTAACTTTAAAATATTTCAGTTACATAAAATGTTAACAGACCCCTGCTGTAGATTGTAGGTATTACAAGATTGGTGTAATCCATCAAATTATTCTTCTAACTTTCAATCCTCATAAATCATCGTCATGTTTCATCGGAATATTTTGAATATAGTGTACACAATACACAGACAGGACATTATATAAAAATATATTTTATATAGACATGACATTATTATATTAAAAGAACATTTCTTAGATAAGACATTTTATTCACTGAACATTTCCTAGATCAGGACATTTTATAGAAGACATTTCATGAATAAGACATTTCTAAATGTAGGACATTTTATTCACAGAACCTTTCCTAGATCAGGACATTTTATAGAAGACATTTCATGAATAAGAAATTTTTATAGATAGGACATTTTGTACACAAAGAAGTAATATTCTTGATCCAAAAGGAGGCCTCAAGGTTTATCAAAGGTTGGTTTCCCTAGGGATATCAGGGTTACGGAGGTTACGGTCCCTGGGGGTCCATATTTATTAGATTGGTTTCCCCACAATAAACAATAGTCCACAATAAACCATAGTCCACAATAAACCATAGTCCACAATAAACCATAGTCCACAATAAACCATAGTCCACAATAAACCATAGTAACCATAGTCCACAATAAACCATAGTCCACAATAAACCATAGTCCACAATAAACGATTCTTTTGTTTGTTATGGTTTAGTAATAGAGAGTGGGGAAACCAATCTGATAAATATAGACTTCCAGGGATCGTAACCTCCGTAACATGATCTCCCTAGGGAAACCAAACTTTCATAAACCTCGAACCCTTCTTAAACTCAACAATTTTACACTGTCCTTTTTACAATACAAGAAATCAGTGGCCGAATTTAAAGAATTTGAGCGGCGGTTTAAATATAAGCCGCGGTTTAAATATGGTTGGTTCCACTTAAAATTGTACCAAATGTTTCAAGATTTAAACCGGCGCTAAATCTAAACCGGGTTTTGGCAGATTTAACCGCGGCTCAAATTCTTTAAATTCCATCTCAGGTCTTATCTCGAAATGTCCTATCCTAGCTTTGAAATTTCCTATCTAGCTTTGAAATGTCCATCTATGAAATGTCTTTAACAAAATGTCCCAACTAAACTAAACTAAAGTATGCAGTGTATGCAGTACCAAACTAATTAAAAGATTAACATGACGTTAAAATTTATGATCCTAATTTCATAGGATATTTGAAAATACTTTGTCAATAAAGGATTTTCTAAATATAAAACCTTCATCTAAGATTCTCCTATTCAAGATAATTTGAGAATTGAGATAAACCTCTGTAGAGTAAAAAAGTAGATGTTTTTAAGGAGGGGTATTTAAAACCTTTTAAAGAATTGGACATAAAAAAACTCTTTTTTTAAAAACATACTGAATTACAGTTAACAATTAAATAAAACTATTTTTTTCTGTTCATTCCTCTGAGTTCAGTCATAAAATCTCTGATGTATTTAGATTCTCGTACTTCAAGTAAACTTCTTCCGTGGTCCCAAACCTTCTCTAGAACGCTAACTTTTAGATGGTAGAGTTCATGTCCAGGAAGGTTAAAATGTTCTCCTGTTTGCTGATAACAGACTTTAATCTATTTAAATTTGAAACTAAAATCTAGGTTCGTAAATATTGTTGATTTTCAGAAAATTGAAAACAAACCGCAGAAAAAGTGATTTTGCCGTTTTTCTTTAAATCGAACAATAAGGGGCATAATCTTAGTTCTAAAAATGATTTCTATATTAAACGTAATAATAAATATATTTCATGACTAAACTATAAACTATAGATTTTTATTTAACATCGTAGAAACTTTGTCTTGACTAAATATCATTTTTATTTTTTTCTTCATAGCAAGGATCAGTTTCTTGCTGATTTCTCTGGGATCAAGTTTATACAGGCTCCGAGCTTAAACTAAAACAGAGGAGAATACTTTTCTCAGTAAATCCACTGGAAGGTTTAGGTTTCATTCTGTATTGCTAGGATCGTCTTAAATGCAAGATATTCTGAGAGAAATTCTTCAATTATACCTCTTATACTCATAGTTAGTTTTAACAGAAACTGGAGTTGTTTCAGCTAATTGCAGAGTAGGCTGGTATAAATAATAGGCTGCAGAATAGGTTTATATATATAAGGCTGCAGAGTAGGCTGGTTTATAGAATAGGCTGCAAAGTAGGTTTGGTATACAAACTGTAGAGCAGAGATGGGTAGAAGTCTGCAGAGCTAGATTGGTATGATGACTACAGTGTTAGATTGGTAAAATGTCTACAGAGTGAGTTTAGGAAGAAGTCTGCAGAGCTAGATTGGTATGATGGATGCAGAGCTAGTTTGGTGTGATGGCTGCAGAGCTAGATTGGTATGATGGCTGCAGAGCTAGATTGGTATGATGGCTGCAGAGCTAGATTGATATGATGGCTGCAGAGCTAGATTGGTATGATGGCTGCAGAGCTAGATTGATATGATGGCTGCAGAGCTAGATTGGTATGATGGATGCAGAGCTAGTTTGGTGTAATGGCTGCAGAGTAAATTATTGAAGAAGACTGCAGAGTTTGATTGGTATGATAAATTGCAGAATAAAACTTTGATATCAAATCTGCAAAGGTTGATAAATTTTACAGAGCAGAGTTTGTAACAGAGTAAGGCTGTTTATGCTGATTATAGAGCTAATCCTAAAAGTTTTCTTCTTGCTCTGCTAGTATCTCTTCTTCTCTCCTTGACAGTTTCTACCTCCGGTCTCCGGGGTCGGAGAACAAAATTTAGATCGTGGGACGTATTGATCGCATAGTACACGTTGGCGTTCGAAGGAATCATCAATTCTGAAATATTTTAAGTTTAATCAAAATATTTTATTTTATTTGACATAAACAATAAACATTGTTTTAACGATAAATGAATGAAGGTATTGACACGCAATAGGAAAACGATAAAATCTTTAATTCTTTCGTGATAGTCTTAGATTGGAATTGACAAGGCTCATTGGCATTTGGTTTGAAAGTTTACGTTTTCGTATTAGTGAAATTAAACAATATTTAAATTGCTAGAAATTTTGAATTCTGCAAATTCATGGATAACATGATTTCGCATAAAAAAGTCGTTGACAATAAAAATAAAAAATGTATCTAAATTTTTCATTTTTTTCTATTTGTTAAAATGTTATTGGGGCAAAACATAAAAACATACAGGATATGACGTCGACTGGGAATTTCCTCACAAATTATGTTTATACAGTTTTTACTGTATATATAGTGTTGCAAAACACAATAACAAAAACAAAATAATTTCTTTATTGGATCTTACAACGTGAACAGTGTCATGTATTAATATTACAAAACTGCCACATTGTTGAGTTTTTCCTTTACCTTTGTCTGGAAGCATTTGCGCCAGATTATAATCATCTGGTGAGCCTTCTAAACCATGTTTAAGCATTGCACTGCAGATCACTTCTCTTGTGTGTTCACGGTTACTCAGCATTATGCTCTTGTACATTATCACTCCTAGAATATAATCATTATGCTCTTGTACATTATCACTCCTAGAATAGAATCTTATGCTCTAGTACATTATCACTCCTAGAATAGAATCATTATGCTCTTGTACATTATCAATCCTAGAATAGAATCTTTATGGTCTTGTACATTAATCACTCCTAGAATAGAATCATTATGCTCTTGTACATTATAAATCCAAGAATAGAATCTTTATGCTCGTGTAAATTATCAATCCTAGAATAGAATCATAATGCTCATGTACATTATCACTCCTAGAATAGAACCATTATGCTTCTGTACATTATCACTCCTAGAATAGAATCATTATGCTCTAGTACATTATCACTCCTAGAATAGAACCATTATGCTCTAGTACATTATCAATCCTAGAAAAGAATAATTTTTCTCTTTTACATTATCACTCCTAGAATAGAATCTTTATGCTCTTGTATATTATCAATCCTAGAATATAATCATTATGCTCTTGTACATTATCAATCCTAGAAAAGAATCATTTTTCTCTTTTACATTATCACTCCTAGAATAGAATCTTTATGCTCTTGTATATTATCACTCCAAGAAAAGAATCATTTTTCTCTTTTAGATTATCACTCCTAGAATAGAATCATTATACTCTTGTACATTATCACTCCTAGAATATAATCATTATGCTCTTGTACATTATCACTCCTAGAATAGAACCATTATGCTCTTGTACATTATCACTCCTAGAATATAATCATTATGCTCTTGTACATTATCAATCCTAGAATAGAACCATTATGCTCTTGTACATTATCAATCCTAGAATATAATCATTGTGCTCTTGTACATTATCAATCCTAGAATATAATCATTATGCTCTTGTACATTATCAATCCTAGAATATAATCATTATGCTCTTGTACATTATCACTCCTAGAATATAATCATTATGCTCTTGTACATTATCACTCCTAGAATAGAACCATTATGCTCTTGTACATTATCACTCCTAGAATATAATCATTATGCTCTTGTACATTATCACTCCTAGAATAGAACCATTATGCTCTTGTACATTATCACTCCTAGAATATAATCATTATGCTCTTGTACATTATCACTCCTAGAATAGAACCATTATGCTCTTGTACATTATCACTCCTAGAATATAATCATTATGCTCTTGTACATTATCACTCCTAGAATAGAACCATTATGCTCTTGTACATTATCACTCCTAGAATATAATCATTATGCTCTTGTACATTATCAATCCTAGAATAGAATCTTTATGCTCTTGTACATTAATCACTCCTAGAATAGAATCATTATGCTCTTGTACATTATAAATCCAAGAATAGAATCATTTTTCTCTTTTAAATTATCACTCCTAGAATAGAACCATTATGCTCTTGTACATTATTAATCCTAGAAAAGAATCATTTTTCTCTTTTATATTATCACTCCAAGAAATAAAAAAAGGATATCAACTGAACAACCTTAGCTTTTAAAATCATAAGTTTAATTTTACGAATAATTTTTCAACATTTAAAGTTTTCTGTTGTGCAAGAAAAGGTTCCTGATCTGGAGCATATTCTTCAAGAATGAAAAATTCCAAATGTTTCGATGAGCTCTGAAAGTATATAACATTACCTTCTGTAGCTTCTGTTGATGACTCCAGGGATACCCTGATAATATAGAACTCTGGTGTTCTGAACGGATCTGGAGCGGGATCTCCAGGATTATCACTAACTCTATCTGATCTACTCGGAGTTCCTAGACTGGCAAGACTAGTATCAATAGAGGGTGTGGAGCAGGCTGAGCTAGCTGAAGAAACTCTAGATCTTAAACTATCGTTTAGTGAGGCAGTCATCTTGGATTCATCATCATCTCGAACAGATCCGTCCGTCTCATAGTGCATAGGAGTACTGGAGTTAGAACTACCGGAGACAGTACTAGCGATAGAATCATTCTTTCTATGTTGACCCAACGGAGTTATTCTTCGTCTAAACCTGGATTCCTTGCTCCCGCTATTCTGAGTGGTTTGGTTCAACGGCTCGATCTGACAAGACAATTCGAATGCTTCAAGCTCGTCCATAATCAGGACGGACTCGAACCATTTTGTAAACCTTGGATCTCGATCTATAGAGTAGGCATTGGCAGCTCCCTGCAGTAGTTTTATCTGAAAAATATTAATATGAAAATAATATAAATTTGTCGTTTTTAACTTTCAATACAGTGAATAATGTTATAAAATGTAATATTCAATTAAAATGCAAGTTTAAAGGGACTGTACAATTATAATGTAGGGTTAAAGGGACTGTATAATTATAACGCAGGTTTAAAGGGACTGTACAATTATAATGCAGGTTTAAAGGGACTGTACAATTATAATGTAGGTTTAAAGGGACTGTACAACAATAATGCAGGTTTATAGGGACTGTAGACGTAGTTTTGAGTGATCCTTCGTTATAAAAAATGGCATGTCCGATTCACAAGAGTACCCTTAAACACGTTGTCTGATCAATTGAATGTATGAGATATCAATGATTTTCTCATCAAATATGTGGAGGAGATTTTTAGAAGTAAACACTTTTTTAGCTAGAAAAACAAAGATATCTTTTACATTATTAATAAAAAAGTTTTAATGGAGGGTCGCTTAAAACTACAATGACAGTCCCTTTAAATGAAACAGTTTCAAAATGAATATTGAATTGGTAAAAGAGAGAAAAAGTTGTTGAATTTGACAGTTCTGAAAACATTCATGTAAACAACTTCAATCAGGATTTTCTCATAAATCAGAAGATATGAAGGATAATAGAGCTAACAGTTACAATATCGGCATTGCATTAGCTTTGTCTAAACCATTGTCGCTGTAGATAATAATATATTATCTGATAATCTATAAAACTGATGTATCCACTGTTAACTCAGGCAACCAAAGGACATTCTGAGATAATTGAATGTAAAACTAAGAAATCAAACTTTTGACAATTAACATGAAAAACGTGACAATCAAGCAGATTATGAATAAAATTTAGGTTTCCCAGCCCAAGAGTTCTTGGAATATTTATGACTAACCTGAGCTAAAACTTCAAACTCCTTTCTTCTCTTGTCAAAATTTATCAATCCTTCAGCAACAATATCAGGTATAGCTGTATCTATCATAGTCAGATCTGTAAGAAAGGTTCCAAGGTATGGTATGGTTCCATAGCTGACTCCTCTTGAGTTCTCTTGGTGCTTCTGAAGAACCTTCTGCATATGATGATCATTCTCTCCAGCTGTATCCGCGAACCTGGCTGTTCCCTCGCGGACCAGGAGCTCGCGCTGGGCAACCGCGTTGTTTTCTTCACTAAATATTCGCGCCAATTCTTCAAATATTTCAAGTTTTTCCCTAGAAACCGTACTCCAGGCTTTCTTTAACCTATATACAGGGTTGGACTGCAGACCGGATACAATTGCTTTGAGTGAAGAGAAGTTCTTGAGAACTCTGAGTTCCTGAGCAATATCAATCCAAGAGGAGATAACACGTCCTCGTGTTGTGTTCTTAGCATCAGCATCAATTAGAACCGTGGATATAACTCTATAGCTGACAGCGTTAAACTGCTCTATGGTTGCAACAACCGTAGCTGCGTCTCTATCCCTGTTCTTGTCTCTCCTGGACCATACAGAGCCAAGGCATTGATGAGGAACAACCCTCTTAAACAGATCCTTAAAACAAATATTATTATTCATCGGAATCTTTTTAACAGTCATGTTCCAACTTTCATTTTTGGAAAAGAACTTTATTCGTGTTTTGCTTTTAAGTTAAAAGAAATTGTGCGTAAGCACTTCGCCAAGAGAAAAATGGAAGAATTATTAACTGTAGAATAGTTTTACCACTCAAACCTTGCGCTATTGCGTTCTCAAAAAACAATCATTTAAAGCAAATTTATTAATGTTGACATTTTCTCCTTAGCTTTGTTATTCTTCACTGATATCATATGGAATATAAATATGTATTTTTTGGATTTAAATCAATTATTAGTGTTCTTGTAACATCCGTGATTGTTAAGATTTAAATCTATTATTATTGTTCTTGCAATATCCGTGATTGTAAATGAGTCTGATTTCTCTGTATACAGGAAGCTAGAAGTTAAACTCGTGAAGAAAGGTTAAAAAGTCAAGAATAAGCCCGGAGTTGAACCTCTAGCAAAATAAAAGAAAACCTACATTATCCATAGCTGTGATCTGGTGAGCAAAGTGTCGGGTTGGGATATCTATTATATCCTGGAATCCAGGGAGAGCGTAGGACGGGAGAGACTGGGATTTATGTGAGTATCTGGATGGTGAGTGGTGTGAACCAAGTAGCTGCTGTATCAAGGGGGACTCGGAGACAGATCCTTCATTTCTCAGTAGCTTCCCTTTCCGTTGAACCTAAATAATTACTATCAATTAGAGCAGATAAAACATACCGAACCGTTAGAAAATAAAAATTATCTTCTGTAACAAGGAACCAAAAAACACATTACAAATCCTGATTTTGCAACCGGGATTACAGAATTTGCAACAAAGAATCTTAATTTTGCAATCAGGGATCCTCATTTTGCAACCAGGAGTACTGATTTGCAACCATAAATATTTATTTTTAAACTATGAATCCTGAATTTGTAACCATGAATACTAATTTGCGACCAGGAATCCTGATTTAGCAACCAGGAATCCTGTGTTCTTGTAATATCCGTGATTGTTAAGATTTAAATCTATTATTAGTGTTCTTGTAATATCCGTGATTGTAAAGATTTGAACCTATTATTAGTGTTCTTGTAATATCCGTGATTGTAAAGATTTGAATCTATTATTAGTGTTCTTGTAATATCCGTGATTGTAAAGATTTGAATCTATTATTAGTGTTCTTGTAATATTCGTGATTGTTAAGATTTAAATCTATTATTATAATTGTTCTTGTAATATCCGTGATTGTTAAGATTTAAATCTATTATTATTATTGTTCTTGTAATATCCGTGATTGTTAAGATTTAAATCTATTATTATAGTGTTATTGTAATATCCGTGATTGTTAAGATGTAAATCTATTATTAGTGTTCTTGTAATATTGTTAAGATTTAAATCAGATCATTTTTAACTGTGGTATTTTAAACAGTTTTGTGTAACCCTCCCTTTATAGAGTCGTATTTCCGATACACATAATACCCTTCATAGTAGTCTGATAAGGATTGATGAGCAAGATATCTTTATTTTTCTGTTTAATTTGATTATTTTAGTTATTTGAGGATTTGTGCTGTAGAGTGCTAGTCAATAAAAAATTGTCAGAATTTATCACGTTTTAAGACAGAAAAATCACGATATCTTTTTTATTCATATTCAATCATAGAATAATAAATGCATTTTTTGTTATTCAGAGAAGCAATCTCACGTTGTAATAGGTTATACAGTTCATACAGTACAAGTGTCAATAAAAAACCATGGCATGTTTATCAATTAGGTTTTAAACAGAGTTAAAAATAATATCAATACACCCTTTTTAAAATCGCGTTTAAAATGTTAAAACCAGAAAAGAACAAATTAAACAATATTTTTTTTGCTTGTCAGGGAAAGGGGGGA